ATTTACTAGGAAAGAATCAAATGACTTGTCCTTTGAACACTTTTTACTCACCGATTGAATTTTGAAGTATGTTTCATGTACGCTCTTATTCGGTTTGAGTCCCACTACCGAGTCCAGCAACGACTCATCGGCTTGGTAAAAATGTGGATTGGATATATAGACAGGCGCGCCGTATTGGCAGGGGCTGATATTTTGTAGACCCTTCTTCGCCTCGTAGTCACTTGGATTGAAGCATTCGTTTTCCGGGTTGGTCGATGAATCGCCGTAAGAATTATCCGGCAAGATGTACAGATCAGCGCCGATGCCTAAATGTTTGCAAGCACAAATACATACATACATTAGTGTCCAAGAATAGGTCACACTTACCATCTTTTTGTACGCCTCNGATGCCTAAATGTTTGCAAGCACAAATACATACATACATTAGTGTCCAAGAATAGGTCACACTTACCATCTTTTTGTACGCCTCTTTGGTACTGCAAAGGTATGACGCGGCACAAATCCTTGTCGTAGAGGTACACCATATCCGATTTTGTTATGTCGCGCGGTGGAAAGAAGGAACCTTCCGAGGCGGCTATACGATTGCAGGGTGGATTGTGCCAGTGCGGTAAGTGATCGAGTCCATTGAGGCGATCTATATAACCGAATTCTTCCATGCCATGGTGTCCAGTTTTGATTGTTGAGACTTCGGTTAGTGTGCCATTGCGCTGCATAAGGAATCGATGGAGTTATTAGTCGAGCATTAAGATCTTGTTTTTTTTGCTTACCGCAATGAGCAGTCCCATACGCTCCATTGGACGCAAATGTTTTGGATAAAATCGATGCGCAAGGCTAACGAGCGCGTCATCATAGCCAAATACCAACTGATCGGCGGTCACATTGATGAAAGGCTTGAACTTGGCTGCTGTTAGCACCACAGAAATGGTCTTTGAGAGCAGGTAACCAAGTTTTGGACTGAGACTAGTAAGAGTCTGCGGATGAAGAACGAGGTAAGCGATTGCATGTATTTAGAAAATGTATTATTTAACTAACCAATAAAGGAATATTAGGTGTGACTATCGGAGTATTCTTGTCTATGCTCAATTCGGGAACGAATTGTAGAATTTTCTTGTGCTGATATGACACTGTTTGATTATCGTAGAAATG